CCCAAAACATGTCACCACTTCTACAAGACGGTTTAAGCGAAATGTTTAGTTTTTGTACTTTATTAAGCGTAAGTTAATTAATGTTCAAACATTTTTCTTAAATTAATTTATTTAAAGGTTTTAGACAACAAATTTCCCTCTTTAATATGCAATAAATGTAAATTCGAACTTGGTATAGCGTATAACTTCAAACAACTATGTCTGCGATCCCAACAGACACTTGAGCAATACTTCAGTCAAACTAGATTTGATGAGTTGGAATTTAGTTTGTCCGAATTCCTAAAATCCGATCAATTCCTCGACGATGACGATACAGACATCGCCAAAGAAATTGAAAAGGAAATTTTGAACTTGGAAGATGATTTTCTTTTGGACAACGAACAATACACTTGCGATAAATGCAATGAATCATTTGATTTACTATGTGATTTAGAGACTCATAAGATAACCCATCGGGAAATCACCGATTTAAAATGCCCCCAATGCGGGAAAGTTTTCGAACGAATGAAAGCTTTAAAAAGACACATTAAAATTCATATGAAAGATAAAAAATATAAATGCGAATTTTGTTCGAAAGGATTTTCGGAAGCTGGGAGTTTAACGAGACATTTAAGAAAACACAAAGGTGAAAAAAAACATTTGTGTACCGTTTGTGGAAAAAGATTTTACGAGGCGAACGTTTTGAGGATTCATTTAAGAGTGCACAGCGGGGAGAAACCAATTTCTTGCACGATTTGTGATAAGAAATTCGGAGATCCAAACGGTTTAAGAAGTCACTTAAAAAGTCATAGTGGCGAAAAAAATTACCAATGTAAAATTTGTATGAAAGCATTTGCTCATTCTTTTAGTTTAAAAAATCATTTAAGGATTCATTCTGGAGAGAAATCATTTTTATGTTCAATTTGTGGAAAAAGTTTTACTCAGGTAAGCTAATCATTTTTTATTAAACCCAAAAAAACCAAATAAAGTTGTAGAGTCATTACATTACGGCTCATATGAAACAACACACAGGAGATCTTCCGTTTTCTTGCAAACATTGCGATAAAAGATTCTCACAAAATTCGCAATTAGAAATTCATACAAGAACACACACCGGGTATAAACCGTTTATGTGTGCTGTAAGTAATTAAAATTTAATTTTTACTTAATTAAAATGTTTTAATTTTTAGGTATGTGGTAAAAGTTGTGCAAGATCCACAGATCTCTCGGTTCATATGAGAACTCATACCGGAGAAAAACCGTATGCTTGCACACAATGTCCGAAACGTTACGTAACCTCTTCACATTTAAAATTACATTTAAAAACTCACACCGGTGAACGGCCGCATGTTTGCAAAACTTGCGGAAAAGGATTTTTTGATGCAAAAGGATTAAAATCGCATTTTAGAATTCATACCAATGAGAAACCGTTTAAATGTAATGTTTGCGGGAGTTGTTTTAAGCAAAGCGGTCAATTAGCTGTTCATAGAAGAATTCATATTTCAAAAGTTATTCAAAAAGAACAAGAAAATGAAAATTAATTAGATTGTTAAGGTAATGAATCAATAAATTTTTGATTTAAATCAATTCATAATTAATTTTTTCCTTTAATCTAATCATATTAAGTAAGTGTGCGCCATTTATTAAGATACGATTTAATGCTGCTATAAGCATTAAGTAGATGGCGTTACTGTAGCATGCCGGTAAGGTTATGACTGTTAGGGTTGGTCGTGGTGATTGTTAAGGTTATGTATGACGTTATACTTATGTTAGTGTGGGTGCTTGTGGATGAAATATCAAAGATACAGAGACATCCTAACACTGATAAACAAAAGGTTGGCAGAAATCGGGATTACATCCGCCTATAGGACTGTGTCAGCAACGGCGATAGTGATAATAGCGGGAATGCCACCTATTGATCTGCTGGTGGAAAAAAGGACAGATCTATATAAGAAGGGGAAAGGGTACAAAGTTGAAGCCAGGACAAATCTGATGAAGAAGTGGAAGGAGAGGTGGAACCACCGTGACGGATGGACCAAAAGACTTATCCCGGAAGAATGGGTAAAAAGAGAGTGGGGGGATGTTGACTATTTTCTAACCCAAGTACTGAGTGGGCACGGGATCTTTGGAGCATACCTTCATAAAATAGGAAAGGCCACCTCCAGTATGTGCTGGTTCTGCGAAGTTGAGGACAAATCGGAACATACAGTTTTTAATTGCGAACATTTCGAGCAAATTAGACGGGTTTGCAACGAACAATGTGGCGTCACTTTGAATTCGGATAATATGGTGGCAGTCATGCTGCAGAGCGAGAAAAAATGGGAGACAGTCAAAAAGACTATATACCAGATCATGAAAATTAAAGAAGAACACGAGAGGTTAATGGAGAGGCAGTTCGTTGACTGAGCCAGTATCTGGTAATTTGAAGAGTGCACGAGTACCGGATATCGAATCCAACCGCTGTCACTCCGAAGTAATGCTCTACGGGCGGTTTCCGGAGGAGAGCGGGAAGGGTTTTAGTCGGTCGGCAACTCAAGAGGGAAGCTAACCCCATCTGTTAGCAGATTTCCTAATCCCCTCTATAAAAAAAGGGTTGGGTTGGGTTGAGTTGTGGTTGTATTGTGTTGGGTTAACCTTCGCCGGCATCAAAGAGAGAAAGGAAGAAGTAGGGAAAAAAGGAAAATAAGAAGCAACCTCAAGTAGCAAGAAGTACCTATAAGAGTTCCTGCCTGGTTTACAGGCGAAGATGTTGGCAAGGCACCGGCTTGTGTTTGTTTTCAGGGTTTAGTGTGCTGTGATGTGTACCTGCCACTAGGTATAGAATGGGGTGTAACCTAGGCGCCTGACAGCTGGAATCATGGTTTAATGAATGATAGAAAAGAAGAGCTTCGGATAATTGTGTCGACAATGTCAGCTGACGCAGCAGCTGAGTTGGATGGTCGACCCCTTGGTGACTGCCAGACCACAGTTAACAACAATGCGAGAAAGGACATGATTATACAGGGCCCGGCCCATGAAAATATAGAGGAGCTTGTGTTTAGGCGTAGCACTAAAATGAGTAGATCTCAGCCTACTCATTCAAGCCAAGAGATATAGTAAGCGACAAAGCAGACAGCACGGAGGAATCGGACTTAGATGAATAATGTGAAGAGTGTGCTCATACGATGCCTCCTGGATTGGGACCGATATATTACTAGTCGATAGTCCTCGAAGTTAAGGACCTAGAAAGTCACACCCCGAAAAGGTTAAAAGCTGGTTTTTCGATTATGGGAAAGCGAAGAAACCACTAATGGAAGAAGAAATAATGAGAGATGTAGAAAGGAGAAAGAGATCAACTGATAAATGGGAAAATTGTGAATAACAATATAGATAATAGAAATAACAAATGTCTTGAGGCAGAACGTGGAGCAAAATACAAAAAGGCAACTAAAAAGTGCAATAAAAAAATTACACAGAGAGACAATGAGGCTCTAGAAAGAAGACATACAGGAATGGCTCAGGAGGAGGATGAACAGAAAGGAACTAACAGTTACAGAAAGAAGAGAAAGGGAGGAAGATTATTTAAGAGAAAATATAGATAAAGCTGAAAGCTATGACGACTGGAAAAAAATAAGGGACAAGGAGTGAGTATTACCGAAGAACTTTAATAAAAGAATGAAATCCGTTATATCAACAGGAAATAAATGTAAAAATTGTAATGGTAGAAGAGGATGATGGAGAGATAGCCATTCACCTAAGAGCATTAAAACTAACAACACTAAGAAAAATAATACAAATAATATACAGAAAAGCACAAATAATCGTAATAATATTTACAACAACACCGCAAAAAATTGATGAAGAAAGAAACCAGGATAAAGCAGAGAGAGAAAAAAGAAAGACATATGTTAATTAATTAAGAGTTTATTATATACAACAATCTGTCTACAATTCTTTACATTATTAAAATATTATTTTTACCCTCTACCCTCCTCCACCATTTCCACACCATCGGCTCCTCGGCCCAATCATCCCCTCATCCATCCCTTTGTCTCCTCACCCCCACAACCATTCTCATCCATCGTTTCCCCTCTCCCCCCTCTCCTAAGATCTGCCCTGGGTCCAACTCCTCCTCCCTCAACTCACTGCACCCATCTAACATATGTTCCAACGTTTCCCATTCCTCCCTGCATAGCCTACACCACCTCTCCTTATCGGCCATCCAGTATCTGTTAGCTCTTTCCTCGTTTCCACAACGGAACCTAGCCACCAACTTCTTTCCTTCCTCATCTCCTTCCAATAACAAGTATCTAGGCAGCCCCTCCGTTATTATGTCCCTGTACCTTTCGTTATACCTTCCCTCTTTTATTTGTGTCCTTCTTTCCTGTCTCTGCACATCTCGGTCCCTATCTCTTAACTTCCTCCACATCTCCCTACCCACCCTTCGTCTACTATTTATCTCAGTTACCGAGTAGCCCGCTCGTCTATAATAGTTGTCTCTGTCTGCTTTCCCATATCCGACTTTTCCCTTTCTAATTTCCCTCCAACACTCCCCCAAGACCTCTTCCCTCACTATATACCCCGGTGTTTGTCTCGCCACCCCAAGCACCCATCTCCAATATCTAGCTTGCACGTCCTCCAGCATTCCCTGCTCTCTCCATTCCCATACCTCTGCCCCATACATCATCACACTGCTAACCAGACCTTCAAACATAATCTTCCTCGCTGCCACATTCCTTCCAAAGACTCTCTTCCCCCAACCCCATACTTGTCCCATCACGTTATTCGCCTTTTTTGCCATAGCTATCACATGCGACCCCTCCCTGTTGTCGTCCCTAAACACATACCCCAAGTAAGTATACTCCCTAGCCTCCTCGATCTCTTTTCCTTCCCATCTCCAGTTTTCTTTTCTTTTTCTCCCACCCTTACAAAACTTCATCATCCTTGTCTTCCCCACATTCACTTCCAGCCCCTTCCCCCTAAAATAGCTTTCCAATGTCTTTATCATATCCTTCATCTCCGCCGCGTATGTCATCCGCGTATACTAACATATGCACCTTTCTACCTTCCACCACCAACCCTCCCATCTGCCCCTTCCCCAATCTATCCTCCAGGTCTGCCGTATACAGTGTAAATAGACTTGGGCTCAACGGACATCCCTGCCTTAGCCCCTTAGTCGTCCAGAACACGTCGCTCAGCTTATCTCCTACTTTTATCCTAGCCATAGTCTCCATGTATATTTCCTTCATTCTCGCAATTAGGTGTTCCGTGATCCCCCTCCTCCCCATCTCCTCCCACAACTTCCCCCTATCCACCTTATCAAAAGCCGCCTTCATATCTATAAACAGATTATATAGATCTGTTTATAGATTTGCCTGCCCATCCGGCAGAATTCCCCCCAACTCCATCTCCTCCTCCAGTCTTCCCAGCAGTATCTTCGTATATACCTTGTATGCCGAGTGTAGTAGCTTAATTCCCCTGTAGCTCTTTACCCTTCCCTTATTATCTTTTTTATATACTGGGCAAATTACCCCCACTTTCCATACCTCCGGAATCCCACCCTCTCTCCATACGCTATTCTATATTGTTGTAATTGTGGAAAATAAAAAGAAAACATATGAAGAGGTAGTGAGATCAATCCAGGAGAAATTAAAGGTCTTTTGCCCTCCAACAACAAATACTTTGGCAGTTCCTCTGGCACTATCTCCCCATACCTTTCATTGTATCTCCCTTCTCGTATCTATGACCTTCTTTCCTGCCTCTGTATCTCCCTATCCCTATCTCTTAGTTCTCTCCATATTTCATCACTTTCAGCCTCCACTCCTTAATTTCCCTCCAGCACTCTCTGAGGATTCTGCAATGCGGTCTTGCTTCCATCATTTCCTCATACTTCACTGCTCTTCTCCTAGCCTCCACCCTTACTGCATCCACCTTAACCTCCTCCCTCACTACATACCTCAGAGTCTCCCACATAGAAAATACAAGAAATGAATATTAGATTGAGATTTTATTATCATAAAGGACAATCCCAACCCAAGTCAACCAAACCCAATACAACCCAACCATTCTTATTCTTCTTTCGCCAGACCAAACGATGATCTATGTTGCATAGATTAAGATTAGATTCAAGTTGCAGAAGACTCTTTACTGCTTAGGTGGCAGAAAAACTTTGAGATAACAGTTTGGAAGTTAAGACCAAATTAATACATAAAAGTTATTTTGGTACAAGGTCGATGAAGAAATATTTCACAACATTAAATAACCTATAATTGTTTTAATCTTGATGTAAATCAAAAATCGTTTAAAATTTTTGATAACAACTCTAAAACTGGTTTGGAATAAAAAAATGCAATGTTATGTCATTTAACACGATTGATAGAAATAACTTGTGTTATCAATTTATTGCATGACTTGATAAGATAATAAATGGTATTTAAGATACATTTTCATAACAAAATTTAGCGTCGAAAATGTTGTGCTTAATACTTTTTGTGTTACTAGTCATTTTATTATTAATAAAATTATCAAAAACATATAGTTATTGGACGGAACGAGGGGTTAAACAGAGAAAACAAACTTATTTATTAGGTGATAATGGAAAAGTGTTTCTAAAAAAAGAATCTTTCTTCGATATGATCACAAGTATATATAACGCATTTCCAGAAGAAAGGTAACTAAATTAATAATTTAATCATCATGAATAAGTTATTTCTTTTAAGATATATTGGGATGTACCAAGGATTACTTCCTACATTAGTGATAAAAGATCCTGATTTAATAAAAAATATAGCAATAAAAGATTTCGACCATTTTACAGACCACCAACAAGTTATTCCTAACGGAATCGATGATGTTTGGGCGAAAAATTTATTAACATTAAAAGGAGATTATTGGAGGCAAATGCGAGCAACTTTAAGTCCAAGTTTTACATCGGTTAAAATGAAAATGATGTTCACTTTAATTGCAGAAACTTTAAAATTTTATGAGGATTATTTAAAAAAAAGAGATCACACGAAAAGTATTGAATTAAAAGATTTTTTTACAAGATTCACCAACGACGCAATCGCAACAGTTGCTTTTGGATTAAAATGCGATTCGATCAACAACAAAGATAACGAATTCTATTTAATGGGAAAAGATGCAACTAATTTCGGATTAAAAAGAAATTTAGCCGTTTTCACTTATTTAATCATGCCTAAAATCGCCACATTTTTCAATATAAAAATATTCCCCACAAAAATAACAAATTTCTTTAAAAACCTTATTAACAAAACGATAAGGATGCGTGAAGAAAACGATATTATCCGACCAGATATGATTCATTTACTTCTCGAAGCTAAAAAAGACGGATTTGAACTTTCCGATGAAACCATTACTTCACAAGCTGTTATTTTCTTTTTCGCTGGATTCGAAAGTGTCGCAACTTTATTAACTTTCATGGGATACGAATTAGCAATAAACCCCGAAGTCCAAGAAAAGCTTCAAAAAGAAATCGATGAAACATTAAAAGAATGCGAAAATCGAAATTTAACTTACGACGCTTTAACAAAAATGAAATATTTAGATATGGTTATAAATGAAACGTTAAGGAAATGGCCCACTCTTGCAACAGATAGAGTTTGTACTAAACACTATAAAATCGAACCGATTCAAAACGAAAAAGAAATTATTATCCAACCGGGTGATGTGGTGTGGTTACCGATTGCCGCTATACAAAGAGATCCTAAATATTTTGAAAACCCCGATAAATTTGATCCGGAAAGATTTAACGAAAAGAATAAAGAAAAAATTAAACCGTTTACATATTTTCCGTTTGGATTGGGACCGAGAACTTGTATTGGATCTAGATTGGCTTTGTTAGAAGCTAAAATTGCTTTTTTTAATATTTTAAAAGATTTTAATTTCGTTCCGTGCGAAAAAACTGAAATTCCTTTAAAAATAAGTAAGGATTCGTTTGGATTTGTACCACAAAATGGATTATGGATCGATATAAAACCAAGATAGTTGTAATTCTAATTTCGGACAAATAAAATTTATAAACAAAATACTTATTTTTATTTATCATTTAAGAGTTATTTAATTAATGGTGTTATTTTAATTCTGCATGATTTTAGGCAATATTTTTAATCATGTATTATCATTCTATAAATAATAAGAGAACAAGAACTAAAAACATTCGGGTTTAATCGTTTTGAGACACTTACTCTAGTGTTAGTGTTAGTTCTAGTTTGCCCTTTTAGTTCTTATTGAACTAAAAGTACAACCTAAAACTAGAATCATTTGGGTTTAGCCGTCTTAAAAGGCGCACGGTTAAACTCAAATGTTTCTAGTTCTGGGTTTGGGTTGGGTAGGGTTGAGTTATGTTGGGTTGGGTTAAAACCTGAGTGATCATTGCAATATCTTTTACAATATCAACACCGGAAAGACGCATAAAGAGAGAAATACTGCAGAAAGGGAATAGAGATGGAGAAGGAGAGAGGCGGCGGTGACTGAATTTAAGACAACTATTATAAAGAAAATTAGAACCTGTAAAAAATTAAATTCAAATACACTAACGGCGGTGACCACGGAGACTTGCAATAAGGTATATGGACGAAGACAAGCTGTGCCAATAAGACATTGCAGTAATTACTGGTGGACAGATAATGTCATCGAAGCCAAAATCGAGGCTAATAGATGTAGACGCATACTGACAAAGGCGAACACTAGGCCAAGTAACGAGGAGGAAAGATCTCTGGCGAAGTCAGCATACGATAGGGCCAAAAAGAGCTTCAGGAAAGAAATTAAGATGGCGAAGAGAGAGGCCTGGAGAAGACTGTGCGATGAATTGGAGGTAGACACGTTAGGAAATGCTTATCAGATTGCAATGAAAAGAACAAAAAATCAACCCAGATATAACTTTGAAAGAGGAGGATGCTGACGAGTTGATTAAAAAACTTTTCTCGAAAAGGAAGCACCTAGACTGAACTAGGGAGGCATATGAAGAATCTGAGAGATGCGTTGCAGTAACAGCAGAGGAGATACGAGCATTGGCTGGAAGATTGAAAAGCAGAAAGGCCCCAGGCCCGGACAAAATAACTCCAGAAATGGTTAAAAACGTAGAAGTCGGAGCGCACGAGATGGCACAGCTATTCAATAGATTCATAGCCAAGTCAGGTAAAGAAAAAACAAAATATCGCCCTCTGTGCCTGTTGAACAGCTACGGATAGTTGTACAAAAGTGCGGTGAGGGATAGACTTTTGAAAGAATTGCAGCAGGGAGGTGGGATATCAGAAAACTGGTACGGCTTCACCAAGGGTAAGTTAACCGTGGATGCCATAAAAAGGGTTATTAGTGAGGTTGGAAAGGTCAATAGGTTCAGACGTGGAAAAAATTTGCAGATGGGATCTAGTAGTTGTATATAGCTTCTAATGTTTTTTTCTTTTACATCGGCTGAACAACTTTCACATAGGGGAGATTTAAAAAAAATGAAACGTCAGCATTTCATCCTTTTTCAATAATTTTTCTTCCCAGATCAACATTTTTGAGTATTACAGAGGCATTATCTGATACAATGGCATATACTTCCGCATTGAAATTTTCTTTGGCTAATTTGATGGCAGAAATTACTATTTCTGAAAGTTCCTCATCTGTTTCCAGTTTCCTTGATAAATCCTATGCATTAACGAAGGTTTTGCAACACAAACAACTGTTTTTGTATTACTGGGCGCATTTTACCATCCATCAATAATCATAGCAGATTCACTTGTAATAAACTTAGAAGCTTCGGATATACTCTGATGTAATAGTTGAGGTAATACTGGTAATGAGGTATATACTTGGTAATGAAATGCTATTTTACTAATTTTATACAAATTTTTTACGTATAAATGTAGATAATCAAAATTTACGTGTAAAGCCCCATCACTGAAAAGAATCGGAATGTGGCATTGTCAGACCTTTGGCCATCTGTGGATGTTGTGGAAGTTTCAGGTTTTGTAGATGATTCACCTACTTCGCCAATACCGGTCGTTGGATGGAGGTATCTAAAAATTGCATTAGTTGTTCTTTTAGCAAGCGGAGTATTTGAGCGTCGATTCAAAATCGCATAATATTTTCCAGGGATGCTCAGTGACACATCATATTGCCGCTGAGATTGTGCGGTCTAAAGTTTGTGATTCAACCTAAGTTGAAGAAGAACAAGAACTAGAATCATTCGGGTTTAGCCGTCTTAAGAGACACACGGTTAAACTCAAATGTTTCTAGTTCTGGGTTTGGATTGGGTACGGTTGAGTTAGGTTAGGTTGGATTGGGTTGGGTTGGGTTGGGTTCATATGCTGATGATCTTGCCCTCATCGTATGCGCCAAAACCAAGGAAGAGGTAGAGGACAAGGCTTGTTACGCGAGCGAGAGAGTCATAAGAAGACTAAACGAGATGGGAATCAGGGTGGTGGCCAAAAAGACCGAAGTGGTAAAATATCTGGGGGTTTATCTCGATAAGGACATGAGAATGACGGCGCATGTTAGGGAGATCACGGAAAAGGCTCTGAAGATGGCTAATATACTTAGGAAGATCATGCCAAATGTGGGGGACCAATAAGCAGCAAAAGGAAACTGCTAGCTACTACGGTTACGTCGGTCTTGCTGTATGCGGCGCCCACCTGGAGTAGAGCATTAAAATATAAGTGCTACAGGAAGATGCTTAACGCAATAAACAGGAAGTTAGCGATAAGCATAACATCAGCGTATTGCACGGTCTCTGCAGAAAGTGTCGAGGTGATAGCTGGTATGCCACCGATGGACCTGCTGGTGGAGGAAGGAGTCTCCCTACACGAATGAGGGAGAGAGAGCAAGAGCGAGATAAGGGAAGATCTGATGAGGATATGGCAGAATAGGTGGGATCAGTATGATGGATGGGCCAGCACCATTATTCCGAAGGTAAAACCATGGATGGAGAGAAAGTGGGGGGAAGTTGACTACTTCCTAACACAGGTGATAACGGGCCACGGTATTTTCGGAACATATTTATGTAAGATCGGGAAATCATCATCTGCACAGTGTTGGTTCTGTGGGTTAGTGGATACACCAGAACATACGGTGTTCCACTGCCCGAAGTTTTCGGCGGACAGGACGAGGTGTTTTGAAGTGTGTCGGGAAACGGTGACCAAAGATAACATCGCAACACTAATGTTAGCCGATGGCGAGACCTGGGAGAAAATCGGAGGGTACCTTAGAAACATTATGAAGACCAAACAGGAGGAGGAGTGGAGAAGAGAACGGGCAGAGATGGAGCCGGATGGCAGCGCGATGGAGGTGCATGACGAGGAGGATCGAGGAAGAGAAGGATGGGATGTTTCCCCCTCGACCGGATCGCATAACCAATATCACGAGGAGAAGTCCAGGGGAAGAGGAGGAGAGGGGGATGTTTCCTCCTAGGCCTGGTAAGTTTATGTTGTGATGAATTTCAAAAAGTTGAAGATTTGTTTTTTTTACCATTTCATACCATAACCATCGAAATGGTGAGGACGAGGGCCGACATGAGATTGATGGATTGGTGTAACAGAGAGATGTAGAGATGAGAGCGAAATTGTAGAAAGTGAAGACGACTCCGAAGAAATGCCTGGAAGGGCGGTTCCGGAGAGAGAAGACGAGGAAAGGGGTTTTTAGTGGGTCGGGGTCTTCGACCCCAACCCCACACTATCTGGCCGCCCAACACCCCAGGCCAGATGTCTGTTTAGCAGATTTTCCCCGACCTCGTTAAAAAAAAAAAAAAAGGGTTGGGTTGGGTTGGGTTTATTGGGCTGAACAGCTTCGGGAAACTGTACGAAGGTATCATAAAAGAATTGGTAGAGAGAGGCGAGCTGTCAGAAAATCAATATGGTTTTAGAAGGGGGAGATCCACGGTCGACGGAATAGAAAAAGTAATGGCAGAGGCAAATAAGGTAGAAAGATTTAGACAGGGAAAAAATTGAAAAGCATGTTAATAACCACAGACGTCAAAAATGCGTTCGGGTCAGTACCATGGGAGAAGATTGTTGAGGAACTACAAAAGAAAGGAATCTCCACATACTTAATTAACATTATTAAAGACTATCTGACTGAAAGAAGCAAAGAATATATCGGAGACACATACGAATTAAGTAGGGGGGTCTCACAGGGTTCAATGTTGGGCCCACTGTTGTGGAATGTATTCTTTGATCAAATTTTTGAAATACAGGGAAGAAATGAGATGGTCAAGACCTGGCTGTAGTGGTTAATGGATGGGAAATCTTGGAGATTGAGAACAGCACAAACTATACTAGGGAAAGTAATACAGAAGATGGAGGAGATGGGACTCCAGGTAGCGCCAGAGAAGACTGACGCTATTATGATGAAAAGAAGAAAATGTGGTAAGAGAGTTAAAATAAAGGTTGATGGACATACGATTGAAACGGAAATGTCCCTGAAATACTTGGGAATAATGATGGATAGGGATCTCCGATGGAACAACCACGTAGAATACGTCTATAACAAGGCGCATAAAACGCTTTCATTGCTTTCATTGTTATTAATGATGTTCAGTGACACATGAGCAGTGTCTCGGCATATTGCCGCTGAGATTGCGACGTGGGCTAAAGTTTGTGATTCAACCTAAGTTGAACTGGTTGTCTGCCTTTTCCAAGTATACTGAGAAGGACTGGTATTCAACAACTAAATGTATTTAGAAGCAATGGCAACGNAAAACCAAGATAGTTGTAATTCTAATTTCGGACAAATAAAATTTATAAACAAAATACTTATTTTTTATTTATCATTTAAGAGTTATTTAATTAATAGTATTATTTTAATTCTGCATGATTTTAGGCAATATTTTTAATCATGTATTATCATTCTATAAATAATAAGAGAAGAAGTCGTATCGTTTTGAGTGATACACGGCTAAACCCGATACTTTCTAGTTCTAGGTCTAGTGTTAGTTCTAGTTTTATCATTCAGTTCTAGACTGTTGTATATTTTTAATTGAACTAAAAGTAGAACTAGAATAATTCGGGTTTAGCCATCTTAAGAGACACACGATTAAACTCAAATGTTTCTAGTTCTGGGTTTGGGTTGGGTAGGGTTGAGTTAGGTTGGGTTGGGTTCATCAATAACAACGCAAACCTGCAACGAAACTTATGGCAAAAGGAGAAAGACAGGACCAAGACAGGGTAATTTATACTGGTGGAATGATACCGTCAAAGAAGACAACGAGACAGTAAACGAATACAGACGAATCCAAACCAGAGCTAACGCAAAGGATAATAATGAAACAGAAAAATAAAACGCACACAGAGAGTATGAGAAAGCGAGGAAAGCTCTCAAAGAAATTAAAAACGCAAAGAAAGTTGCTTGGAAAAAACTGTGCGACGAACTTCAGAACAACACATGGGGGGATGCATACATCATAGCGGTTAAAAGAACAAAAAACATCGCTATAGTATCGCTATATAAACCAGGAACAAGCCAGGACATTAATTAAAGAACTGTTCCCAGAGGGGAAAAGGATAACTTTTAATTTGGAAGATGTGGAAAATGAATTGGACTGTCGAGAGGTCACAGAAGAAGAAATTAAAAACTTCGTAAACAAGCAAAAAAATGCCCGGATAAGATCACACCGGAAATTGTCAATCACACCGCTAGAGTAGCGAGTGGAAAGATGACAGAAATGTATAATAACCTCATAAAGAGTAACATATTTGCGAACATCTGGAAGTCCGGTAAACTGATTCTTATCGAAAAGCAGGCTGGTGCAAACTAGCCATGTGTAACTCAGCAAAATTTGCTGCGCTGACACACTGATACTGGCGCACCTAAGTGAGTTAGCGCAATGTATCAACTCAATTGCGCCATAACGCAGTTGCTGATGCATCATATCTATCGGCGATATCATATACGCCGACGCAGCTAGCCTGATATCTCGTTCCAAGTTCTAGCAAATGCAGGTTTTATACGTGACTAAGGGCTAGAATTTTCACCTACATATCTGTAATTTTTTAATAGCTATTTGAGAGATCTGCAAGATTTTTAGCCCTGTTAAACTCCTCAAAATGGGAATATGTTACGGTGGCGGTGTACAGAACGTGAATATAAAGAGTACATGGCGCGTTTTGTACAATGTCGCCATTATATTTGCTCATTTGAAGGGCTATAATAGGGTGATAAATCTGACAGATCTGTTGTATACCTATTGAGGACTTTATAGATAGTTGAAAATACCAGCCCTAAGTCTTATGCTGCCTGCGCCATAGCGGTTGTGCGTTAAACTTTAGGTCTACCAGTGTGTTGCACCTATCTAGTAAGCCACACCAGCGTACGCTACTACGCCAAAGGTGGCGCAATTGAGTTGAGACTCATTTTAAAGTTGGGTATCAGCGCACGTAACACACTGTACTGAGTTAACTCAATTGCGCCGCGCAGCGCAGTGTTACACATCTCTAGTGCAAACAAATATAGACCCCTATGTCTACTAAACAGTTATGGGAAATTGTATGAAGGGATCATTAAAAACAGGCTGGAGGAAGAACTGGAAGAGAGAGGTAGGCTGTCAGAAGATCAGTACGGCTTTACAAGGGGGAGATCCACAGTTGACGCAATAGAAAAAGTAAAGGCGAAGGCAAATAAGCTAGAGAGATTTAGACAGGGGAAAAAAAGGAACAGTATGTTAATAACCATAGATGTCAAAAAATGCGTTCGGCTCAGTACCATGGGAGAAAATAGTTGCGGAACTAAAAAAGAAAGGAATCTCCACATATTTGGTAAACATCATTAAAGACTATCTGAGCGAAAGAACCATAGAATATAACGGAGACATATACGAATTAAGTAGGGGGGTCCCACAGGGCTCAATCTTGGGCCCGCTCTTGTGGAATGTTTTCTTTGACCAAATTTTTGAGATACAGAGAAGAAATGAGAGAGTCAAGATGATACGCATGCGCGGACGATCTGGTGGTGGTGGTTAATGGATAGGACTCGAGATAGCGCCAGAGAAGACTGAGGCTATTATGATGAAAACTAGAAAATGTGGTGGGAGAGCTAAAATAAAGGTCGAGGGACATACGATTGAAACAGAGTTGTTTCTGAAATACTTGGGAATAATGATGGAAAGGGATCTCCGCTGGAATAAACACGTAGAATAATGGGGTCGGCCTACGGACCAAGCATGGAGAAGAGAAAGATAATTGGCTCGGTTGTCTTCTCACAGATGTTGTATGCATGCAAAGCGTAGGGAGAGGGGTTCGAAATTAAAAAACACGAACAGAAACTCACAAGAATACAGAGACAGGTGCTGTCTCTTCAGAGGCTCTACTGGTGATGGCGAACATACTCCCAATTGATTTAATGGCGAGAGTAAGGATGTCTGCGGGAGCATCAAAAGAGGACCGAACCTCCCTACACGAAGATATAGTCCAAGAATAGAACAGCAGATGGAGAAAAGACACGGGCAAGGCTCGATGGACCAAAAGAATAATCCCAGAGATTAAAACATGGATAGCTCGTCGATGGGGGGAAGCAAACTATTTCACCAGTCAGTTGCTGAGGGGACATGGATGTTTCAGAGCCTACCTTTTTAAGCATAAGAGAAGTAATGACGAAATGTGTGTCTACTACACAGACAAAATAGATGACGTGGAGCATATGTTCTTTAACTGTGCAAGATGGAAAGACAAAAGATAAGAAACATGGGAGAAATTAGGAACAACACTAACCCCAGAAAATTGCATTAGCACCATACTGAAAAGCGAGGAAAGATGGAAGGTGGTGGAAGACTTTGTGAGGGAGGTCGTCAGCACGAAGGAGGCAGAGGAGAGAGCGATGGAGAGTATATCGAGGGTATGGTGATGGAACGGAAGAAGAAGAAGAAAAATAGGCGGGGCTTTTCGAAATAAGCCCCCCTAACCAGGTACGGTATGACATGTTGTTTGTTATTAAACTCAAGATTCTTATTATACTCAAGATGATAGCATACGCGGACGACCTGGCTGTAGTGGTTAATGCATGGGAAATCTTGGAGATTGAGAAAACAGCACAAACTATACTAGGGAAAGTAATACAGAAGATGGAGGAGATGGGACTCGAGGTAGCGACAGAGGAGACTGAGGCTATTATGATGAAAAGTAGAAAATGTGGTAAGAGAGTTAAAATAAAGGTCGATGGATACGATTGAAACTGAGGCGTCCTTGAAATATTTGGGAATAATGATGGAAAGATATCTCCGATGGAACAATTACGTAGAATACGTCTATAACAAGGCGCAGAAAACCGTAAGCGCACTCCGTAGAATAATGGGCTTGACCTACGGAGCAACTATTCACTTGTAACGGACTTAGCAGCTTCGGTTATACTCTGTTTGTAAATATTGTCCAGCAAAGTTGTTTTCACTGTTTCTTGCACATCATATTGCCGCTTAGATTGCGACGTGGGCTAAAGTTTGTGATTCAACCTAAGTTGAACTGGTTGTCTGCCTTTTTCAAGTATACTGAGAAGGACTGGTATTCAACAACTAAAAGTATTAAGAAGCAATGGCAACGTTTAAATAACATGTAAAGTCGCCATGAGTAGATGTTGCTATTAAAGAGAACTAGCTATTAATGAGTAGTATTTTTATCCTCCATCACAATATGTAACCACAATATCCAATCATAATTTCATCAATTATAGCAAAATTTTAATATATTTATTATTAGTCATCAAATTTATCAGAGTATTTTATTATTTATATTTGATAAAAAGACCACAGATAAAAACAACTCGACAATAACAAATAACTTGATAAAAATTATCCATAATCTTTGTATCTGAGTTTAGAAACCGCGAAATAATTTTAATAGAGAAACTTGTAAGTACTTTCACTGGAAATTTATAGGAAAAAGTTTTCAATTTCTATTAATGTACAAACTTAACTACGTTATTAAGTTACTTGTAAAAATTTCCAATAAAAAATGTAATTAAAACTTAATTTTTTAATTTTCAAAAGATTTATTAACAAAAAAACAATAAAAATAGTCAACAACAGATCATCAACAAAGAAGCACACAACAAAACAACCAACAATCAGCAGTCTTTAACATTTTCCTTTTTTTTTGGTCGCACAGAAAAACCAAACTAATGTTTGCTATGATGATAAACGGTCTTATAAACTGGTACTTTAACGGGTACTGGTTTAGGTACTGGAATTGGTACATGTTTTTCCACTTTGATTGGCACTGGTTTTTCTACAGGGTATGGAACACTCTTAATAACCGGGAAAAGTACTGGTTTTTCAATTGGTACGGTGATGGTCTTAATAACTGGTACAGCAACCGGTTGTGGTACTTTAATTTGCACTGCGTAAGGTTGTGGAACAGGAATTGCAACCGGTTTAGGTTGTGGAATTGGTAATGCGTGTGGAATTGGTACTTGAACGTGTTTATAAATTGGAATTGGTACCGGTTTTTCTACTTCGACCGTTTCTTGTACGTGATGACCTCCGTGATCTCCACCGTAACTACCGATATGTCCAGCATTTACAGTGGCAAAAGCTGCTACCAAAACAATACAAACCTACAAAAAGAAAAAAAAACAAATAATTTTTAATTAAAAAAACTATTTTAATTTAGGACTTACGTAGGTATTCATCTTTACTATGTTTAGGTTATTTTTGTGGATGAGAAGAAACTGATGGTTTGCGAAGTCCGGGAGAAGCCTTTTATACCAAGCCGGAGTGTGAAATGCTTTCACTGCTCCCAAAGCGTGACGGGGACTATCAAACATTCTCTGGTGCTCCCATTTTTGATCCAGCATGGACCAATCAACGAAATAGCCATCGAACAGTTTGACACGAATAAAAAAAATAATTAGCAAAAAAGAAATTTAAAATGAAAGCTTCAAATTCAACTTTTATTATTTTTTTTTTTTTATCTATTTAAACGAGTCATTACTTTTTCTTAAAAAAAAAAACCTCAATCAAATCAAAGACAGATTTCTTATGTTAATCATTTATAATTTCTACAAACACAAAATGATTAGTTCGTGACGTCATCATTGATAATTTCTGCGAATCTATCAAACCGTGCAAGTTCATGGTAAGTCAACGACCTGGCTCATTTTACTTTCTAGGAGTGGACCAAAAGATTAGTTGGGAAATAAGTGTAACGACGTATTTGTTTCATTTTCTTCCGGTACTTTTTTTATTGTCTCCGTACATTCTCTTTATTAGTTTGTGGTATGCCGAGAACGAAATCGAAGACCTAAAATTTAAAATTAAATTACAATGTTAACATCAAAGAAAAAGTTTAATAATCGATTTTTTATTTTAGTTAATTCATTATCATTCAATTATAAAATTTAATCGTTTCTATAAATATAAAAAAAATTTGAAAGTAAGTTTATTTAATTACTGTAAAATTAAAATGCTATGCTTCGTTATCAAGATAATGCTTCGTTTAAAAGTGTTAAGCTTAGGAGATTGTGGTTATTGACCATCTTTAGCAATTAAATTGTTATGCATCGTATAAAAACGCAATCAAATTAAAATACAAATTTAATTATATTTTAATATAATCATGGAACATTCTATAAGTTACAAAGTAATATTATGAGTCAAATAATAATCAAATAAAATAACGACCTGATCTTTACAAAATATGGAAATAAAGGTCTACAATTGTAAATGAAGCTTGATCGAGCCTTATTGTCTGTTTGCTAGATTAGCTAATGTTTTAGCTTAATTAGTTTAATTTTTCATAATTAACATATCAATCATTTTAAAGCAGAAATTTCAGGCTTTAATTTGAGCCATAAATCATTTCTCTATCTTCAAGAATAAAGTCAGAGCGATTTTTTGAAATTCATCAATTTTTAATAATCCTGAAGTCAACTTCAATTTTAGACCATTTGATTTTGTAACATTTTATGTATTTCTTCATAATCAACATATATATCTTTATATACCACATTAAAATAGAGATTTCAATCTTTAATTTGAGCCATAAATCATTTCTCTATCTTCATGAATAAAGTCAGAGCGATTTTTTGAAATTCATCAATTTTTAATAATCCTGAAATCAACTTCAATTTTAGACCATTTGATTTTGTAACATTTTATGTATTTCTTCATAATCAACATATATATCTTTATATACCACATTAAAATAGAGATTTCAATCTTTAATTTGAGCCATAAATCATTTCTCTATCTTCATGAATAAAGTCAGAGCGATTTTTTGAAATTCATCAATTTTTAATAATCCTGAAATCAACTTCAATTTTAGACCATTTGATTTTGTAACATTTCAGATATTTCTTCATTATCAACATATATATCTTTATACACCACATTAAAATAGAGATTTCAATCTTTAATTTGAGCCATAAATCATTTCTCTATCTCCATGAATAAAGTTAAAGAAATTTTTTGAATTTCCTCAATTTTTAAAAATTTTTGAATCAACCTCAATTTAAGACCTTTTCATTTTGCGCCGTTTCAGATAATTCTTCATAATCAACATATCAATCTTTATACATCATATTAAAGTAGAGATTTCAGGCTTTAATTTAACCCACAAATCAATTCTCTATCACCATGAATAAAGTTAGAGCGATTTTTTGAATTTCCCCAATTTTTAAACATTTTTTAATCAACCTCAATTTAAGATCTTTTCATTTTGCGCCGTTTCAGATAATTTTTCATAATCAACATATATATCTGTATACACCATTTTAAAATAGAGATTTCAGTCTTTAATTTGAACCATAAATCATTTATCTAACTTCATGAATAAAGTCAGAGCGATTTTTTGAAATTCATCAATTTTTGATAATCCTAAAATTAACTTCAATTTTAGACCATTTGATTTTGTAACATTTCATATTTTTCTTCATAATCAACATATATATCTTTATACACCACATTAAAATAGAGATTTCAATCTTTAATTTGAGCCATAAATCATTTCTTTATTTTCATGAATAAAGTCTGAGTGATTTTTTGAAAATCATCAATTTTTGATAATACTGAAATCAACTCCAATTTTAGACCATTTGATTTTGTAACATTTCAGGAATTTCTTCATAATCAACATATATATCTTTATACACTATATTAAAATAGAGATTTGCGGCTTTAAGATGAGCCATAAATCATTTCTCTAGCTCCATGAATAAAGTCAGGCCGATTTTTTGAATTTTTTAATTTTTTTAATACATTACAACTCCAAATGTAGACCTTTTCATTTTGGTACGTTGCAGACATTTTTTCATAATCAACATATACATCTTTAAACATCATGTTAAAGTACAGGTTTCAATCTTCAAATTCAGCCATAAATCATTTCTTTTTCTCCATTAATAAAGGAAGAGCGATTTTTTGAATTTCATCAACTTTTAATAATCCTGAAATCAATTTTAGATCATTTGATTTTGGGCCGTTTCAGATAACATATCGATCTTGATATATCATTTTAAAGCAGAGATTTCAGTCTTTAATTTGACTCATAAATCATTTTTCTAACTCCATGAATAAAGTCAGACCAATTTTTTGAATTTCATCAATTTTAAATAATCCTAAAATTAACTTCAATTTTAGACCATTTGATTTTGTAACATTTCAGATATTTCTTCATAATCAACATATACATCTTTATATATCATATTAAAATAGAGATTTCAAGCTTTAATTTGAGCCATAAATCATTTCTTTATCTCCATTAATAAAGGAAGAACGATTCTTTGAATTTCATCAATCTTTAATAATAGTGAAATCAACTTCAATTTTAGCCCATTTGATTTTGTAAAATTTCAGGTATTTCTTCATAATCAACATACATATCTTTATACATCATATTAAAATAGAGATTTTAATCTTTAATTTGAGCCATAAATCATTTCTTTATCTCCATGAATAAAGTCAGAGCAATTTTTGGAATTTCATCAATTTTTAATAATCCTGAACTCAACTCCAATTTTAGACCATTTCATTCTGTAACATTTCAGATATTTCTTCATAATTAACATACACATATTTATACATAATTTTAAAGTAGAAATTTCAAGCTTTAATTTGAGCCATAAATCATTTCTTTATCTCCATTAATAAAGGAAGAGCGATTCTTTAAATTTCATCAATCTTTAATAATCCTGAAATCAACTTCAATTTTAGACCATTTGATTTTGTAACATTTCAGATATTTCTTCATAATTAACATATACATATTTATACATGATATTAAAATAGAGATTTCAGTCTTTAATTTGAGCCATAAATTATTTCTTTATCTCCATTAATAAAGTCAGAGCGATTTTTTGAATTTCATCGATTTTTAATACACCTGAAATCAATTTCAATTTAGACCATTTGATTTTGTAACGTTTCAGATATTTCTTCATAATCAACATATATATCTTTATACATCATATTAAAATAGAGATTTCAGTCTTTAATTTGAGCCATAAATCATTTCTTTACCTCCATGAATAAAGTCAGAGCAATTTTTGGAATTTCATCAACTTTTAATAATCTTGAACTCAACTCCAATTTTAGACCATTTGATTTTGTAACATTTCAGATATTTCTTCATAATTAACATATACATCTGTATACATCATTTCAAAGTAGACATTTCCATCTTTAATTTGAGCCATAAATCAACTCTTTAGCTCCATAAATAAAGTCAGAACGACTTATTGAATTTCATCAATTTGTAAAAATCAACTCCAATTTTAGATCATTTGATTTTGTAACATTTCAGATATTTCTTCATAATTAACATATTCATCTGTATACATCATTTCAAAGTAGACATTTCAATCCTTAATTTGAGCCATAAATCATCTCTTTATCTCTATAAATATAATCAGAGCGACTTTTTGAATTTCATCAATTTGTAAAAATCAACTCCAAATTTAGATCATTTGATTTTGTAACATTTCAGATATTTCTTCACAATCAGCATATACATCTTTATACACCATATTAAAATAGAGATTTTAATCTTTAATTTGAGCCATAAATAATTTCTTTATCTCCATAAATAAAGTCAGAGCGATTTTTTGAATTACCTCAATTTTAAAAAATTTTTGAATCAACCCCAATTTTAGATCATTTGATTTTATACCGTTTTAGATAATTTTTCATAATCAACATATCAATCTTGTTACATCATTTTAAAGTAGAGATTTTAATCTTCAATTTCAGCCATGAGCCATATCTTTATCTCCATGAACAAAGTCAGAGTGATTTTTGAATTTTATCAATTTTTAATAATCTTGAAATCAAGTCCAATTTTAGATCATTTGATTTTGTAACATTTCAGATATTTCTTCACAATCAACATATATATCTTTATACACCATATTAAAATAGAGATTTTAATCTTTAATTTCATCCATGAATCATTTCTTTATCTTTATAAATAAAGTAGGAGCGATTTTTTGAATTTCATCAATTTTTAATAAATCTTCAAATTGTAATAATAAAGTGTTGAAATTTATCATATTAAAAGACGAAAATATATTTAAAAAAATTTTTATTACAAGAAATTAAAAAAGATTCAACAAAATAACAACAATAACAACAAAATCACATAAATACCAAAAATTTTTTAACAATAACAGCCTAAAAACATCAATTTACTTAATGTTTTCCTCCGTGTCCATGGTAAACAATTTTGTAAACTGGTACATGAACTGGTACTGGTTTTGGTATGGGAATCTTTACGTGCTTCTCAACAGTAACTGGGATGTATTTTTCAATTGGAACAGCAACTTCCTTTTCGACTTTGTATGGTACCGGCTTTTCAACGGGGATGGTGATGGTTTTAATAATTGGTACAGCAACCGGTTGTGGGACATGAACTTGAATTGGATAAGGTTGTGGAACTGGAACAGCAACTGGTTTTGGTACTGGAATGGGTACTTTGTGTGGGATTTCAACTGGGACATGTTTAGGTACTGGGATATGAATCGGCTTTTGTACAACGATGGTTTCGTGACCCCCATGATCTTCTTCGCCATAACTGCCGGCGTAACCAGCATTTACAGCAGCAAAGACACAGAAAACTACGCAAACCTAAAAGGGATTATATTAACATAGAAATTTTTGCAAATTTTCTTTTTAATCGTTAAACTTACGATTGGATTCATGGTGATGTTTCTTCGATGTGTTGTGGTGAACTGATGCCGTTTTCGAGAAAGGTGGAGCCTTTTATATTTAAGAACTTTCACCTATCTCCATTCTATCGTCGGCATTGACCCTGTTGCTTCTGGGATTATGAACTTATACTTTCATTCTTTCGCACCAAATTAAATCGAATTTAATTTTATTTTAGTCCAACATGATTTTGTATTAAACATATTTTTAATTTAATTAAATTATTCTATTATTTTTTAGGAAAATAATTAAAACGTAATTAAATTATTTAATATTCGGAAATGAATATGTGCATAAAGTGAAAGTGATCGATTTATTGTTTTATTCCTATTCCACTTGAATAACACAATCTTATTAATACAACAAAATAAGCTATTTAAAAATAGATTCGATATAAATGAGTAATAATGTAGGGTTAATAATAAAAGCGTTAACTGATCGAGTTTAAATCGTATGACAAAACATGATTAAATATTTTATTAAGTCAAGATGGGGAATAACATATGTATAGTTGTTTTTGTAATTTCACAATAAATTTGCGCAATATCATGCTGCGGTTTGGTTGGTTAAATACCTGATGAGCGTTCGTCTTTGAGTCAGTTTTCAGATGTATTTTACGCAGCAGGTTGTATCATACAAGATAAAGAGAAATCTATAAACAAAGTGAACAATAAATAAATTTGAATGTGATTGATTTAATTACAATTAAGGTAAGTTTTTTTTATTAACAATTTTTTATCTCAAATTTGAATAATCTTTGTTCGTTTAGGTCATTGACTTAAGTGCAGGAATGCACCAATATTTATTTACCGGTTTCACTCAAAACCTGGTGTGAGTTCAAAGACTTTTTAAACCTTAAATAAATAAATAATAATTATTAAATCTTTTAATTTTTCTTTGTATGATATTTATAAACCTGCGCTATTTTGAGTTTTGCGTATTTTCTTCTTAATTAAAACAACCTTTGTTTGTTTCAATGACCCACATAAAATATAATTAAACGAACTCAAATAAAATCAAACTTATTCCAAATCTTCCAATTTAAAATTCACTTAGATGTTATTATCACAAATTGAACACAATAACAAAATTATGTTCTTGTTTATTTATTTACGCTTTATTTTTATCTGTAAAGGGAAGAGATTAAAGATCTGTTAAATTGAAAAGTAAACAATATCGCGTGTTTGGAATAAAAAATTTCATTCCTCACGCGCAGTACATTTTTCAAGGTTAAAAAATAACTATTAAACGTTTAATTGCAGATTTAAAAATGATGCTTATAATTTTTGGAATTGCCTTACTCCTACTGGTTTATATCAAATTAAGGAAAACCCACAATTTTTGGATTGAGCGAGGTGTTAAACAAAGGAAACAAATTTATCTTTTAGGAGACAATGCCGGAGTCATTTTGCAAAGGGAAACGTTTTTTGATATGATGCAAAATCTATATAATGCTTACCCCGAAGAAAGGTAATATACAACATATTTTTTAATAAATAATTTAATAATATTTATTTGTTACATTACTTTAAAGTAGAGATTTCAGGCTTTAATTTGAGCCATAAATGATTTCTCTATCTCCATGAATAAAGTCAGAGCGATTTTTTGAATTACCCTAGTTTTAAAAATTTTTTGAATCAACCCCAATTTTAGATCATTTGATTTTATACCGTTTTAGATAATGTTTCATAATCAACGTATCAATCTTGTTACATCATTTTAAAGTAGAGATTTTAATCTTCAATTTCAGCCATGAACCATATCTTTATCTCCATGAACAAAGTCAGAGTGGTTTTTGAATTTTATCAATTTTTAATAATCTTGAAATCAAGTCCAATTTTAGACCATTTGATTTTGTAACATTTTAGATATTTCTTCATAATCAACATATATATCTTTATGCGCCATATTAAAATAGAGATTTCAATCTTTAATTTAAGTCATAAATCATTTCTCTATCTCCATGAATAAAGTTAGAGCGATTTTTTAAATTTCCTCAATTTTTAAAAATTTTTGAATAAACCTCAATTTAAGACCTTTTCATTTTGCACCGTTTCAAATAATTTTTCATAATCAACATATCAATCTTTATAAATCATATTAAAGTAGAGATTTCAGGCTTTAATTTAACCCACAAATCATTTCTTTATCTCCATAAATAAAGTTACAGCGATTTTTTGATTTTCCCTAATTTTTAAAAATTTTTTAATCAACCTCAATTTAAGACCTTTTCATTTCGCGCCGTTTCAGATAATTTTTCATAATCAACATATCAATCTTTATACATCATATTAAAGTAGAGATTTCAGGCTTTAATTTACCCTACGAATCATTTCTCTATCTCCATGAATAAAGTTAGAGCGATTTTTTGAATTTTCCCAATTTTTAAAAATTTTTGAATCAACCTCAATTCAACACCTTTTCATTTTGCGCCGTTTCAGATAATTTTTCATAATCAATATATCAATATTTATACATCATATTAAAGTAGAGATTTCAGGCTTTAATTTAACAAGCAAATCATTTCTCTATCTCCATGAATAAATTTAGAGCGATTTTTTGAATTTCCTCAATTTTTTAAAATTTTTTAATCAATCTCAATTTAAGACCTTTTCATTTGGCGCCGTTTCAGATAATTTTTCATAATCAACATATCAATCTTTATACATCATATTAAAGTAGAGATTTCAGGCTTTAATTTAACAAACAAATCATTTCTCTATCTCTATGAATAAAATTAGAACAATTTTTTGAATTTCCCCAATTTTAAAATTTTTTTGAATCAACCTCAATTTAAGACCTTTTCATTTTGCGCCGTTTCAGATAATTTTTCATAATCAACATATCAATATTTATACATCATATTAAAGTAGAGATTTCAGGCTTTAATTTAACAGACAAATCATTTCTCTATCTCCATAAATAAAGTTAGAGCGATTTTTTGAATCTCCCCAATTTTTAAAAATGTTTGAATCAACCCCAATTTTAGACCTCTTCATTTTGCCCCGTTTCAGATAATTTTTCATAATCAACATATCAATATTTATACATCATATTATAGTAGAGATTTCAGGCTTTAATTTAACAAACAAATCATTTCTCTATCTCCATGAATAAAGTTAGAGCGATTTTTTGAATTTCCCCAATTTTTAAAAATTTTTGGATCAACCTCAATTTAAGACCTTTTCATTTTGCACCGTTTCAAATAATTTTTCATAATCAACATATCAATCTTTATACATCATATTAAAGTAGAGATTTCATGCTTTAATTTAACAAGCAAATCATTTCTCTATCTCCATGAATAAAGTTAGAGCGATTTTTTAAATTTCCCCAATTTTAAAAAATTTTTGAATCAACCTCAATTTAAGACCTTTTCATTTTGCGTCGTTTCAGATAATTTGTCATAATCAACATATCAAGCTTTATACATCATATTAAAGTAGAGATTTCAGGCTTTAATTTAACAAGCAAATCATTTCTCTATCTCCATGAATAAATTTAGAGCGATTTTTTGAATTTCCTCAATTTTTTGAAATTTTTTAATCAATCTCAATTTAAGACCTTTTCATTTGGCGCCGTTTCAGATAATTTTTCATAATCAACATATCAATCTTTATACATCATATTAAAGTAGAGATTTCAGGCTTTAATTTAACAAACAAATCATTTCTCTATCTCCATGAATAAATTTAGAGCGATTTTTTGAATTTCCTCAATTTTTTGAAATTTTTTAATCAATCTCAATTTAAGACCTTTTCATTTGGCGCCGTTTCAGATAATTTTTCATAATCAACATATCAATCTTTATACATCATATTAAAGTAGAGATTTTAGGCTTTAATTTAACAAACAAATCATTTCTCTATCTCCATAAATAAAGTTGGAGCGATTTTTTGAATTTCCCCAATTTTTAAAAATTTTTGAATCGACCTCAATTTAAGACCTTTTCATTTTACGCCGTTTCAGATAATTTTTCATAATCAACATATCAATCTTTATACATCATATTAAAGTAGAGATTTCAGGCTTTAATTTAACCCACAAATCATTTCTCTATCTCCATAAATAAAGTTAAAGCGATTTTTTAAATTTCCCCAATTTTTAAAAATTTTTGAATCAACCTCAATTTAAGACCTTTTCATTTCGCGCCGTTTCAGATAATTTTTCATAATCAACATATCAATTTTTATACATCATATGAAAGTAGAGATTTTAGGCTTTAATTTAACCCACAAATCATTTCTCTATCTCCATGAATAAAGTTAGAGCGATTTTTTGAATTTCCCCAATTTTTAAAAATTTTTGAATCAACCTCAATTCAACACCTTTTCATTTTGCGCCGTTTCAGATAATTTTTCATAATCAATATATCAATATTTATACATCATATTAAAGTAGAGATTTCAGGCTTTAATTTAACAAACAAATCATTTCTCTACCTCCATGAATAAAGTTAGAGCGATTGTTTGAATTTCCCCAATTTTTAAAAATTTTTTAATCAACCTCAATTTAACACCTTTCCATTTTGTGCCGTTTCAGATAATTTTTCATAATCAACATATTAATCTTTATACATCATATTAAAGTAGAGATTTGAGGCTTTAATTTAACCCACAAATCATTTCTCTATCTCCATGAATAAAGTTAAAGCGATTTTTTAAATTTCCACAATTTTAAAAAATTTTTGAATCAACCTCAATTTAAGACCTTTCCATTTTGTGCCGTTTCAGATAATTTTTCATAATCAACATATTAATCTTTATACATCATATTAAAGTAGAGATTTCAGGCTTTAATTTAACCCACAAATCATTTCTCTATCTCCATGAATAAAGTTAGAGCTATTTTTTGAAATTCCCCAATTTTTTAAATTTTTTGAATCAATCCCAATTTTAGACCTTTTCATTTTGCGCCGTTTCAGATAACTTTTCATAATCTACATATCAATATTTATACATCATATTAAATTAGAGATTTCAGGCTTTAATTTAACCCACAAATCATTTCTCTATCTCCATAAATAAAGTTGGAGCGATTTTTTAAATTTCCCCAATTTTTAAAAATTTTTGAATCAACCTCAATTTAACACCTTTTCATTTTGCGCCGTTTCAGATAATTTTTCATAATCAACATATCAATCTTTATACATCATATTAAAGTAGAGATTTCAGGCTTTAATTTAACCCTCAAATCATTTCTCTATCTCCGTAAATAAAGTTAGAGCGATTTTTTGAATCTCCCCAATTTTTAAAATTTTTTGAATCAATCCCAACAGAGATTTCATGCTTTAATTTGAGCAATAAATCATTTTGAATTTACTAAACCCAAGTACATTTTACAGATATATGGGGATGTATCAAATGACTCTTCCCACTTTGGTTATCCGAGATCCTGATTTAATAAAACAAATCACCGTAAAAGAATTTGACCATTTCGTCGATCACAGACCTTTCATTCCTGATGGTGTGGATCCAATTTGGAGCAAAAACTTGTTTGCGTTAAAAGGAAATGAATGGAGAAATATGCGAGCTACTTTAAGCCCAAGTTTTACCTCGAGTAAAATGAGAGCCATTTTTAATTTGATTTCGATTTGTGCTCATGAATACATGGACTATTTTACAAAAACCCAAGGGACTCAAACGGTCGAATTGAAAGACACTTTTACGAGGTACACAAACGACGTAATCGCCTCAACAGCTTTTGGATTAAAGAGTGATTCAATTAACGAAAAAGACAACGAATTTTATTTAAATGGAAAAGAAATTACAACGTTCACGTTTTGGAAGAATATGAGATTTTTTCTTTACACTTTAACACCAAGATTATCCGCCGCGTTGAAAATAAAATTATTCCCTGATCACCTCACTAATTTCTTCAAAAATATCATAATGTCTACAATTAAAGCCAGAGAGGAACAAGGAATCGTTCGTCCAGACATGATACATCTTCTCCTAGAAGCGCGAAAAGGCAAAAAGAAATTTGAGGTTCCCCCAGTTTTAGACACTGGATTTTCAACTGTTGAGGAAACCATAAAACCAGTTCAACAAACATACCAAATCACCGATACAGACATAGCAGCACAAGCTTTAATTTTTTTCTTCGCTGGTTTTGAAACCGTTTCAATAGCAATGTGTTTTATGGGATACGAACTTACTGTTAATCCCGATATTCAAGAAAGACTTCAAAAAGAAATTGACGAAACCATAGAATCATGCGAAGGAACTTTAACTTACGAAGCATTAATGAAAATGAAATACATGGATATGGTCGTATCTGAAACTTTAAGGAAGTGGCCGCCGGCTGTTGGATCTGATCGAGTTTGCAACGAAACTTTCACGATTGAGCCAAAAAATCCAGGAGAAAAAGCGATTACTTTACAAAAAGGTGATATAATTTGGTTTCCAACAAATGCTATTCAAAGAGATCCAAAATATTATCCAAATCCTGATAAATTCGATCCGGAACGATTCAGCGATGAAAATAAACACAATATTAAACCTTACACTTATTTACCTTTTGGACTTGGACCAAGAAATTGCATTGGATCAAGATTTGCTTTGTTGGAATTAAAAACAATATTTTTCCACCTTCTAAGGAATTTCGATTTAGTTGTAACTGAAAAAACTCAAATTCCGTTGAAATTAAGCAAAAAATCATTTAATATGATTGCAGAAAATGGAATGTGGATTGGATTGAAACCACGATGTTTATAATTTATTAATTTACTAATTTTGTAATGTATTAAATTAGAATTTTTGATTTTAATGTAATGTGTCATATCGTTTTAATTGTATGCATAAATAAATATAAGTATTAAATAGATCTTTCGTTATCCTAGAAAATTTTAATTCAGCTTTGTTTAGAACTGTGGTCGTAAATTCAACAGCTTTATCTCGATCGTTACGAAAAACTAGCCCAAAAACACGAAATTCGTCTGTTTTTAAACAAACTTTCAGTTAATTTTGGCTACGTTATTACGGGGTGTTGGAACTTCAGATGGAATCCACAATACGGCTCGTTGGAACAACATGGAACGGGTGAAAACTGCCGAAAGGGCCTTATTTAGTTATCAGTAGTATAGAAATGAGAGTTCTGGACCGGAAGTTGCTCCTCATGCTCCCCTTTTGACGTCACGGCTGCAATGTTATAAGTATAGGGAGGGGTGCCAACCTAAATCTGGGGATGAAAAGAGTACTAGATTTAGGTTGGTATTGGAAAAGTTCTCAAACGGAAGCCCTGTGACGTCACGCTGCAATGTTATAAGTATAGGGAGAGGTGCCAACCTAAATCTGGGGTGGAAAAGTTACTTTTTTATTGCACCAACTAGCTTTTACTACATAACGCTGGACGAAGCAGAACCAGAAAGGTGCTGTGAAAGCAAACGGTTCATAAGTAAAGTTATGTTTATGGCTGCAGTGGCCAGACCACGCTATGACAGTGCTAAAAAATAATATTTCAACGGCAAAATAGCACTCTGGCCTGCTGGGTAAGAGGAACAATGTTGACCAAAACATCGAGTCTATTAACGCAGCAGAATGCAAAAAGATGATTATCGATAACGTTGTACCAGCCATTAGATCCAAGTTGATTGGTTCCAAATTGATGATAATGGATTAAGATAATATAATTCATAAGCAATACCACCATAGTTATCTCAATTTTTTATGCACAAGCCAGAAAATCCCACAATATCAAAATTGACAATCATCTAGGCACATAAAATTCTGTTATGACTAAAAAAACTAAAGGTGATAGAGAAAAACGTTTCCCATAAAAATCAATGATAATGAAGCAAGATAAAATAATTTATAGTCAATGCTACCATAGATATCACCATTTCTTAGGTTCAAGCCAGGAATTCTCAAAATATCAAAATTGATAATCATCTGCGTTAAATTCTGTTACAAGTAGAAAATTAGAGGTGATAGAGAAAAACGTTTCACATAAAAATTAAAGATGATGAATCAAGATAACATAATTCATAACCTATGCTACCATAGATATCACCATTTCTTAGGTTCAAGTCAGAAATTCTCAAAATATCCAAATCGCCAAACAATATAAATGAATTGTTAAAAGTGCCTTCGACGCATTAACTAAAGAAAAGTTAGATAACGTATTCTCGACACTACAAAGTATGTCATGTTCCATACTTCCATATTTGAAGTTGCTAGTTTTCCATACGTACAGGATGGTTCAAATTCGATGTCCGAATAGGTTAACTCGGAAACTATAAGAGATAGAAAACAAGTAGATTTCAGTCATTAATTTGAGATATAAATCATTTCTCTATCTCTATGAATAAAGTCAGAGAATTTTTTGAATTTCTTCGTTTTTTTATAATTCTCGATTCAACCCCAATTTTAGACCATTTGATTTTGGGCCGTTTCAGATAATTTTTCATAATCAACATATAGATCTCTATATATCATTTTAAAGCAGATATTTCAATCTATAATTTGAGCCATAAATCATTTCTCCATCTCCGGGAATAAAGTCAGAGCGATTTTTTGAATTTCTTCATTTTTTAATAATTCTCGATTCAACTCCAATTTCAGACATATTGATTTTGGACCGTTTCAGATAATTTCTCATAATCAACATATCGATCTTTATATATCATTTTAAAGCAGATATTTCAATCTATAATTTGAGCCATAAATCATTTCTCCATCTCCGGGAATAAAGTCAGAGCGATTTTTTGAATTTCTTCATTTTTTTAATAATTCTCGATTCAACCCCAATTTTAGATCATTTGATTTTCGGCCGTTTCAGATAATTTTTCATAATCAACATATCAATCTTTATATATCATTTTAAAGCAGCGATTTCAATCTATAATTTGCGATATAAATCATTTCTCTATCTCCGGGAATAAATCCAGAGCGATTTTTTGAATTTCCTCATTTTTTTATAATTCTCGATTCAACCCCAATTTTAGATCATTTGATTTTGAGCCGTTTCAGATAATTTTTCATAATCGACATATCGATCTTTATACATCATATTAAAGTAGAGATTTCAGGCTTTAATTTAACCCACAAATCATTTCTCTACCTCCATGAATAAAGTCAGAGCGATTTTTTGAATTTCCTCAATTTTTAAAACTTTTTTGTTTCAACCCCAATTTTAGATCATTTGATTTTGGGCCGTTTCAGATAATTCTTCATAACCAACATATCAATCTTTACACATCATTTTAAAGCAGAGATTTCAATCTATAATTTGAGCCATCAATCATTTCTCTATCCCTATGAATAAAGTCAGAGCGATTTTTTGAATTTCTTCATTTTTTATAATTCTCGATTCAACTCCAATTTCAGACCTTTTGATTTTGGACCGTTTCTGATAATTTTTCATAATCAACATATCGATCTTTATATATCATTTTAAAGCAGATATTTCAATCTATAATTTGAGCCATAAATCATTTCTCCATCTCCAGAAATAAATCCAGAGCGATTTTTTGAATTTCTTCATTTTTTAATAATTCTTGATTCAACTCCAATTTCAGACCTTTTGATTTTGGACCGTTTCTGATAATTTTTCATAATCAACATATCGATCTTTATATATCATTTTAAAGCAGATATTTCAATCTATAATTTGAGCCATAAATCATTTCTCCATCTCCAGAAATAAATCCAGAGCGATTTTTTGAATTTCTTCATTTTTTAATAATTCTTGATTCAACTCCAATTTCAGACCTTTTGATTTTGGACCGTTTCTGATAATTTTTCATAATCAACATATCGATCTTTATATATCATTTTAAAGCAGATATTTCAATCTATAATTTGAGCCATAAATCATTTCTCCATCTCCAGGAATAAATCCAGAGCGATTTTTTGAATTTCTTCATTTTTTAATAATTCTTGATTCAACTCCAATTTCAGACCTTTTGATTTTGGACCGTTTCTGATAATTTTTCATAATCAACATATCGATCTTTATATATCATTTTAAAGCAGATATTTCAATCTATAATTTGAGCCATAAATCATTTCTCCATCTCCAGGAATAAATCCAGAGCGATTTTTTGAATTTCCTCATTTTTTTTATAATTCTCGATTCAACCCCAATTTTAGATTATTTGAGTTTGAGCCGTTTCAGATAATTTTTCATAATCGACATATCGATCTTTATACATCATATTAAAGTAGAGATTTCAGGCTTTAATTTAACCCACAAATCATTTCTCTACCTCCATGAATAAAGTCAGAGCGATTTTTTGAATTTCCTCAATTTTTAAAATTTTTTGTTTCAACCCCAATTTTAGATCATTTGATTTTGAGCCATTTCAGATAATTTTTCATAATCAACATATCGATCTTTATATATCATTTTAAAGCAGAGATTTCAATCTATAATTTGAGCCATAAATCATTTCTCTATCTCTATGAATAAAGTCAGAGCGATTTTTTGAATTTCTCCATTTTTTATAATTCTCGATTCAACCTCAATTTTAGATCATTGGATTTTGAGCCGTTTCAGATAATTCTTCATAACCAACATATCAATCTTTATACATCATTTTAAAGCAAAGATTTCAATCTATAATTTGAGACATAAATCATTTCTCTATCTCTATGAATAAAGTCAGAGCGATTTTTTGAATTTCTCAATTTTTGTATAATTCTCGATTCAACCCCAATTTTAGATCATTTGATTTTGGGCCGTTTCAGATATTTCGTCATAATCAACATATACATCTTTACACATCATTTCAAAGTAGAGACTTCAAGCTTTAATTTTAGCCATAATTTATTTTTTCATTTCCATGAATAAAGTCAGAGAGATTTTTTGAATATCTCCAATTTTTAATAATTCTCAAATCAATCTCCATTAGATTTTGGACCATTTCAGATATTTTTTCATAATCAACATATCAAGCATTATACATAATTTTAAAGTAGAGATTTCAAGCTTTAATTTGAGCCATAAATCTCCTTAAACTAACTCACAGATTTTTTTAATTTCTTCATACTACTCAAGATCTGGATACAACTTAACGAAAATGTATATTTAATTGTATCATACTAGAAATTGAGTATGACTAACGGAGATAATCGCAATTCTAAGTAGATGTTAACGTGCATATCCTCTACTTAGAGATAAGTCCCCTTTGATGTCCTCTTCCGTCTTTAATACGATACGAGACCGAATTTGTCCTCTAATGTCCATCTACAAGTATAAACGCTTTAGCAAATTCGCCCGCAAAAAGATTTATACTAAGTCGGGCCACGTGCCAACAGCAATTAGTGTGCAAACAAATCGTGCCGACAAACACAATTACCTTATCAATCGGAATAGAAACCTGGTTCCTATAACCAAAGTAAACATTCATGTAGATTTCCGACATGTGATTGATAACGGTGAGAATTAAGAAACCGATTTGGTATATAAACTAAATCCAGTTTATTTTTGAGTATCAAAGCATCGCAATTCGATAATGTCACTAATTAAGAAGAATTCACCAATTTTTAACCCATCCAAACCGTAAGTTAATTATTTTTTTAAATAAATTTATTAAATTTGTTTGAATGACTTAGTGGGTATTTATGGATGGGAGAAGGCACCTTGGCAATCTCTTTACAGCTTTACGCCGAAAATAGAAGACGATTAGTTGAGAAATTACAAGAAAAAAATTTGGGAAATGCCATAGTTGTTTTGCAAGGTGGTGATGAGATCCAAATGTATGACACCAATGGGTATTATCTTTTTAGACAGGTAATAATTCACTTTAAAACGTATCCCAAAGTTAATACTTCATTATGTAGGAGTCATATTTTACATGGGCTTTCGGTGTCGTCGAACCAGCTTTCTTTGGCACCATCGAAGTTCAAACTGGAAAATCAACTCTTTTCATTCCAAGATTACCCGAAAGTTACGAAGCTTGGTATGGCCCAATTTGGACGCCCGAAGATTTTATGCAAAAATACCAAGTTGATCAAGTTTATTATACAGACGAGATTGCTACAATTTTAGCTCAACACTCTCCAAGTCAACTTTTAATTTTACGCGGATTCAATCAAAACAGTGGTTCTCCGACTCTTGAAGCAACTTTCGATGGGATTGAGAAGTAATTATTTTTAAATTTACTTTTTATGTTCTAAATTAATCGTAACGTTTTAGTTTTATTGTTAACGGAACCGATTTATTCGATGACATCACGTATTTGTAAGTGTTTTGTGTGTTTTTTGAATCAAAATGGTTTGATTTTAAAATATATTTAGGAGAGTCATTAAAACCGATTTGGAAATTGAAGTTATGAGATATGCCATTGAAACAAGTTGCGAAGGGCATTTAGAAACGATGAAGATGGCACTTCCTGGAACGAGTGAATACCAATCAGAATCAGAATTTCTTCATTATTGTTACAGTAAAAGAGGATGTCGTCATACAGGGTATATTAGCATTTGTGGTTCTGGCCCAAACGGTGCTATTCTTCATTATGGGCACGCTGGAGCTCCGAATGATCGTTGGATTGAGGATGGGGATATATGGTGAACCTTTTAATCTAACATTATTTATTTTATTAATTTATTTCAATCTCTATTTCAAATCTCGTAGTGTTTATGATATGGGAGCTGCTTATTTTGGTTATACAGCTGATATAACAACATCATTCCCAGCTAATGGAAAATTTACGGATGATCAAAAATTGATTTATCAAGCTGTTTTAAACGCAAATCGCGCTGCTATTAAAGAAACGAAACCCGGAGTGAGATTTTCCGTTTTATCCGCTGCTTCGAATCGAGCTTTAATGGAAGGATTAAAATCTGCGGGAATCGTAACTGGGGATATTGACGAAATGTTAGCAGCTAATTTACCTTATTATTTCCAACCACACGGTTTGGGTCATCTTTTGGGTTTGGACGTCCACGATGTCGGTGGATATTTCTCATCCTTCAAAAATCCCAACGAAGCACCACGTTTTAATAGACCACTCGAGAAAGGAATCGTATTTACCATCGAACCAGGATGTTACTTCATCGATTTCGTAAGAATCAATTTAAAATTAAATAATTTTTTTTTATAATAAATCTTTTAGTTATTAAATGAGGCTCTTGGCATTCCAAATTTATCAAGATTTTTAGTACCGAGCGTTTTGAATAGATTCCGAGGATCCGGTGGTGTTAGAATTGAGGATGATGTGGTTGTAACTGACGATGGATGTGAAAATTTAAGTGCCATGTTACCCAGGACGTGAGAATTTCTAATAGTTAATTAATAAAATTTTAATTATAATTTTTTTTTAGTATCGATGAAATTGAAGCTTGGTTCGCCGCAAATCGATCCCGCAAAAATTAATTTAAAAGGCTTTATGAGTATATAAATAAAAACACTAACTTGCATTTTAAACAACAATTTTTATTTTAACACTTTCATTTTAACAACCTCAAATTAACCATAATTTCATATCATTTATTCAGTGCCGTATCAGATCTTTATATATCATTTTAAAATAGACATTTTAATCTGTAATTTGAGCCATAAATCATTTCGTTATGTTTATAAATAAAGTAGGAGCGATTTTTTGATTTTTCTCAATTTTTAAGAATTAAAAAAAAACTCTAATTTTAGACCATTTGATTTTGAGACGTTTCAGATAATTTTTCATAATCAACATATCGATCTTGATATATCATTTTAAAGCAGAGATTTCAATCTTTAATTTGAGCCATAAATCATTTCTCCATCTCCGGGAATAAAGTCAGAGCGATTTTTTAAATTTCTTCATTTTTTAACAATTCTCGATTCAACACCAATTTTAGATCATTTGATTTTGGGCCGTTTCAGATAATTTTTCATAATCAACATATCAATCTAGATATATCATTTTAAAGCAGAGATTTCAATCTATCATTTGAGCCATAAATAATTTCTCCATCTTCAGGAATAAAGTCAGAGCGATTTTTTGAATTTCACCAATTTTTAAACATTTTTGAATCAACTCCAATTCTAGACCATTTGATTTTGGGCCGTTTCAAATAATTTTTCATAATCAACATATCGATCTATATACATCATTTTAAAGCAGAGATTTCAATCTTCAATTTGAGCCATAAATCATTTCTCCATCTCCAGGAATAAAGTCAGAGCGATTTATTGCATTTCTTCATTTTTTAATAATTCTCGATTCAACACCAATTTTAGATCATTTGATTTTGGTCCGTTTCAGATAATTTTTCATAATCAACATATCGATCTTTATATATCATATTAAAGCAGAGATTTCAGTAATTAATTTGAGCCATAAATCATTTCTCCATCTCTATGAATAAAGTTAGAGCGATTTTTTGAATTTCACCAATTTTTAAACATTTTTGAATCAACTTCAATTTTAGACCATTTGATTTTGGGCCGTTTCAGATAATTTTTCTTAATCAACATATCGATCTTTATATATCATTTTAAAGCAGAGATTTCAATATTTAATTTGAGCCATAAATAAATTTTTTACTACCCTAGATAAAGTAAGAGAGATTTTTTGAATTTCATCATTTTTTAATAATTCTCGATTCAACTCCTATTTTAGACTTTTCGATTTTGGGCCGTTTCATATAATTTTTCATAATCAACATATCGATCTTTATATATCATTTTAAAGCAGAGATTTCAATCTATAATTTGAGCCATAAGTCATTTCTCCATCTCCATGAATAAAGTCAGAGCGGTTTTTTGAATTTTCACAATTTTTAAACATTTTTGAATCAACACCAATTTTAGATCATTTGATTTTGGGCCGTTTCAGATAATTTTACATAATCAACATATCGATCTTTATACATCATTTTAAAGCAGAGATTTCAATCTATCATTTGAGCCATAAATCATTCCTCCATTTCCATAAATAAAGTCAGAGCGATTTTTTGAATTTTCTCAATTTGAAAAAATGTTTTAGTCAACTCCAATTTTAGATCATTTGATTTTGAGCCGTTTCAGATAATTTTTCATAATCAACATATCGATCTTTATATATCATTTTAAAGCAAAGATTTCAATCTTTAATTTGAGCCATAAATCATCTCTCCATCTCCATAAATGAAGTCAGAGCGATTTTTTGAATTTCACCAATTTTTAAACATTTTTGAATCAACTCCAATTTTAGATCATTTGATTTTGGGCCGTTTCAGATAATTTTTCATAATCAATATATCGATCTTGATACATCATTTTAAAGCGGAGATTTCAATCTTTAATTTGAGCTATAAATTATTTCTCCATCCCCATGAATGAAGTCAGAGCGATTTTTTGAATTTTCTCAATTTTTAAATATTTTTGAATCAACTCCAATTTTAGATCATTTGATTTTGGGCCATATCAGATAATTTTTCATAATCACCATATCGATCTTTATATATCATTTTAAAGCAGATATTTCAATCTATAATTTGAGCCATAAATCATTTCTCCATCTCCATGAATAAAGTCAAAGCGATTTTTTGAATTTTCCCAATTTAAAAAAAATTTTGAGTCAACTCCAATTTTAGACCATTTGATTTTGGGCCGTTTCAAATAATTTTTCATAATCAACATATCGATCTATATACATCATTTTAAAGCAAAGATTTCAAGCTATCATTTGAGCCATAAATCATCTCTCCATCTCCAGGAATAAAGTCAAAGCGATTTTTTGAATTTATTGATTTTTTAACAATTCTCGATTCAACTCCAATTTTAGACCATTTGATTTTGCTCCGTTTCAAATAATTTTTCATAATCAACATATCGATCTTTATACATCATTTTAAAGCAGAGATTTCAATCTATCATTTGAGCCATAAATTTCTCCATCTCCATAATAAAGTCAGAGCGATTTTTTGAATTTCACCAATTTTTAAACATTTTTGAATCAACTCCAATTTTAGATCATTTGATTTTGGGCCGTTTCAGATAATTTTTCATAATCAACATATCGATCTTTATATATCATTTTAAAGCAGATATTTTAATCTATAATTTGAGCCGTAAATCATTTCTCTATCTCCGGGAATAAAGTCAGAGCGATTTTTTGAATTTCTTCATTTTTTAACAATTCTCGATTCAGCACTAATTTTAGACAATTTGATTTTGGGCTGTTTCAGATAATTTTACATAATCAACATATCGATCTATATACATCATTTTAAAGCAAAGATTTCAAGCTATCATTTGAGCCATAAATCATCTCTCTATCTCCAGGAATAAAGTCAAAGCGATTTTTTGAATTTCTTCATTTTTTAATAATTCTCAATTCAACTTCAATTTTAAACCATTTGATTTTGAGCCGTTTCAGATAATTTTTCATAATCAACATATCGATCTTGATATATCATTTTAAAGCAGAGATTTCAATCTATAATTTGAGCCATAAATCATTTCTGTATCTCCGGGAATAAAGTCAGAGCGATTTTTTGAATTTCTTCATTTTTTAATAATTCTCGATTCAACTCCAATCTTACACCTTATCATTTTGGACCGTTTCATATAATTTTTCATAATCAACATATCGATCTATATACATCATTTTAAAGCAGAGATTTCAATCTATCATTTGAGCCATAAATCATTTCTCCATCTCCATGAATAAAGTCGGAGCGATTTTTTGAATTTCACCAATTTTTAAACATTTTTGAATCAACTCCAATTTTAGATCATTTGATTTTGGGCCGTTTCAGATAAATTTTCATAATCAACATATCGATCTTGATACATCTTTTTAAAGCAGAGGTTTCAATGTATCATTTGAGCCATAAATCATTTCTCCATCCCTGTGAATAAAGTCAAAGCGATTTTTTGAATTTTTCATTTTTTAATAATTCTCGATTCAACTCCAATCTTACACCTTACCATTTTGGACCGTTTCAGATAATTTTTCATAACTAACATATCGATCTTTATACACCATTTTAAAGCAGAGATTTCAATCTTCATTTTGAGCCACAAATCATTTCTCCATCTCCATGAATGAAGTCAAAACGATTTTATGAATTTTCCCAATTTTAAAAAATTTTTGAGTCAACTCCAATTTTAGACCATTTGATTTTGGTCCGTTTCAAATAATTTTTCATAATCAACATATCGATCTTTATACATCATTTTAAAGCAGAGATTTCAATCTATCATTTGAGCCATAAATCATCTCTCCATCTCCAGGAATAAAGTCAAAGTGATTTTTTGAATTTATTCATTTTTTAACAATTCTCGATTCAACTCCAATTTTAGACCATTTGATTTTGGGCCATATCAGATAATTTTTTATAATCAACATATCGATCTTTATATATCATTTTAAAGCAGAGATTTCAATCTATAATTTGAACCACAACTCATTTTTCTATCTCTTTTTTATTCTATTTTTTGAAATTCCCCAATTTTTAATCATTCTCTAATCAATCTTACTTGAAGCTATTTCAGATCATTTTCCAGCTTAATTTAAAAAATTAATTAAAGTCTAATAAATAAAAATCTAATTTGCATTTTAAACAAAAACTTTTATTTCAACAATTTCCTTTTAAAAATTATCTGGACAAAAATTCGGGTATTTTTGTTCCCTATAAACATCGCACCAAAACATAACCCTTTCCTTATAAAACCCAATTCCCCGCGTATTATTATCCAAATTAATATTGTAATAATTAATACTTTTATTGTTTACTTTTTTCCACTGAATTCTCTCATCGGGTAAAGTTGGAGTTTCAAACTTAACGAAATTAGATATTAATTTAACTGTGTTTTTAATATATCTATATTCTTTCGAAGTTTTATCATAAGCAACCTTTGGTGTGTTAGGGTTCGGGAATAAATACCCTAAATCATCAATATGACACACCCCCTCATAATTTTTAGTAACATTATTACTGTATTTCCACATATTCAATTTCGAATCCGAGGAGAAAAGATAAAGATAAATTTGGTTATAACGTAAATGCCCAAAAATTGTTTCATATAAACAAAACGTGAAATAACTATCACTTTGGAGATTTAAATGTGGGTTTGGGTCGAGTTTATTCTCCAAATTATAGAATTTATTAATTTTGTTAACTAATTTTTGTCGATTTTTATCGGAGGAAAATTTGAAGTAATAAGGTATGAATTTGCTTGTTGGGAGTGGATTGAAAATTCCATCGCGATAAATGAAAAATGAATCCATCACCATTCCTTCTGCGCTTGTTATTCCAATCATGATTTTTACATCGTGATTAAATAATCCTTTTTTTATTAATTTTCTTGGGTTATCTGTAAGGAAAGCTTCGCGGTTGGGATGTTCGATTGTTGGTCCGAATCTATTTGGTTTATCAATTTCTACTAACTAAAATGTTATGAAAATATATTATAAAGCAAAAGAATGTGCAAATTTAACACTTACCATCGAAACATTAACCGAAGCTTTTTTAAGTTCATCAACAGATGCATTTTGTAACAATTTTAACATATCACTTTCATTATTACCTTGATAATTTAAAATATTAGCAGCTGTAACCCCATTATTAATTTCTCCATTACACCAAGGAGCTAAACTTGTTCCACTTTGTATTATGGCATTACTAAATAAACCTGTGGAATTAAATTAATTGTTTTTAAGTAATTAAGAGAATTATTTGTACCTTTTGATAATGGTGAAATAACATGAAGATGAACACTTGCAGCTCCAGCACTTTGCCCAACGATTGTAACCTTATTTTTATCTCCCCCAAATTGCTCGATGTTCTTACGAACCCATTTTAAAGCCATCGTTTGGTCTTTTAACCCAGCATTTCCGGGAACATTAAGAGATTGATTTTTGAAATTTAAAAATCCCAGAATTCCAAGGCGATAATTAATGGTTACAAGGATTATATTTTGTGATATTAAAAATTCTGGGCCATAAAATGAGTAAGTTCCGCTACCTTCGATGAATCCTCCGCCGTGAATAAAAACGAGAACAGGAAATAATTTGTTTGGTTTTATCTAAATACAATAATTTTTAACACTTTTTTTTATATTAATAAATATTTTTTGTACCTTCGGAGTATAAACATTTAAATATAAACAATCCTCAACCCCGGTGAAATTACCGTGTAAAAGAAATTGTTTTTGAAGACATATCGGAGATTCTTTAGTGGCATCTCTAACTCCTTTCCATTTTTGATTCGGTTTAGGATCCTTAATTATCAAATTAATTCAAAAAATTAAAAAAAAAATTAATTTTACCTTAAATCTTAACGAACGAATTGGTGGAGCAGCGAAAGGAATTTTTTGAAAACTATAAAAAGGTTTCCCATCGATATCTTTTAATATAGAACCTCTTAATTCACCATCTTCAATTTTAACTATAGGTTCGATTGCAAAAACGATCTTAAAAATATTAATGGTTAACAGTAACGCAAACATTTTGTTAATGCAAAAGCTATTTGTTAACAAGCTTTTATAACAAGCGTTTTTCGAAAATTCTTGGCATGGGAATGTTAAAAAAGGACATTGTTATCGCGGACGTTAACAAATTTTTGAAAGTATAATTAACGTATTGTAAGCATAATTTAAAAATACCTATAATGTAAAAATTTTTGTTAATATTTATACATTTATTTTTGTTCGCGGAAAATTTTTACTATATTAAAACATTTTGTGTAAAATTAAAATCCGTCTTCTATGTCTAAATGGGTGGGTGTTTGAATCCTTCGATTTTTGCTATTTTCAGAGATTTCGAGAATCCAATTCGATGTTTAAAGCTCAATGATTGTATTTGGTAGTATGGCTAATATTGAGCAAGGTCTTAGGTATAGAAATAAATTAAATGTGGAACAAGTTAAGGTTTTAGGTCTGATTTTGGATAACAGGTTGAATTTTAGCTGTCATGTTAACAAATTATTAAAAAATTCATATTCAAAGCTAAAATTACTTTATCCTAATCGTCATTTATTAACTACACACGCTAAATTAATGTTATGTGACTCGCTTATTTAATCATTGCGATTAATCATTGACCTGCTTATTGTCTGCAGATGTGGAGAGAGTTCAGAAATCATGCTTAAGATTTGTATATGGTATAAGACGAAGGGAGAGAGTGTCATACATGTTGCAGATAGCTAAATGGTTGAATTTAAGTGATTGCAGAGCCCTTCACTTTGATTGCAGTGTGCAGCAGATAATCAATACCAAAACTCAGCCATAATTGTATGAAAGAATCACTTACAAGACTGATGTGCATAATTTAAATTTACATCGTAAAAACTTTGTAACTATTCCTAAACACCGTTTGGAAACATTTAAAAAATCATTTTCCTATAATTGCGCGAAAATACTAAACAATATGGCTTATTATTTTTTATTATTTTAATTGTTCTCTTTTTCTCTCATTTATCTTCTATGATTTTTTTCTTTTTTGTTTATTGTTATTAATAATAGCGGTAAGAGCGATTTGTTTTTTTTTAATTTCAAAATGGAAGCAAATGTAATGCTTATTTTGTTAGTTGCTTAATTTAGTATTTAGTATTATTACTATTTTCTTTACTTCTCTATTATTATTTTTATTATTGGTTTTTGTTTTTTTTTCGAAAAAGGGATCCTTAAATCTTAAATATTGTAATAGCAAAGCTTATATATATATTTTTTTTTATTGTGTTCTTGTGCAATATCAATAAAATGATTATTATTATTATTATTAAAGAATGTTTTTCGATACTTTTCACTTTGACCTTCTACAACATTTTTATTTCAATTTTTAGAACAATATAGTATTGTTTATTTGAATCTATACTCTTTTTAGTATAATTCCACAAAATTTCGTGATTCCAATTCGATATTTGAAAAAGTTATGAATTTTTGTATCCTTAAAAACCTAATTTTTGATGTTTTTCGATAGTTGACCACCAACAACATTTTTATATCAATTTTTGAAACAATATCGTATTTCTTATTTGAATCTACACTCTTTTTAGTATAACTCCACAAAATTTCGTGATTCCAATTCGATACTTAAAGAAGTTATGAAGTTTTGCACCATTAAAAATCAAAATTTTTGATATTTTTCGATACTTCTCACTTTGACCACCCACAACATTTTTATCTAAATTTTTGAAACAATATAGTATATTTTATTTGAATCTACACTCCTTTTAGTATAACTTAACAAAATTTTGTGATTCCAATTCGGTATTTAAAAAAGTTATGAATTTTTGTATGCTTAAAATATCTAGTTTTTGATATTTTTCGATAGTTGACCACCAACAACATTTTTATCTTAATTTTTGAAACAATATCGTATTTTTTAATTGAATCTACACTCTTTTTAGTATAACTCCACAAAATTTCGTGATTCCAATTCGATATTTAAAGAAGTTATGAAGTTTTGCGTCATTAAAAACCTAAATTTTTGATATTTTTCGATACTTCTCACTTTGACCACCCACAACATTTTTATCTAAATTTTTGAAATAATATCCTATGTTTTATTTGAATCCACACTCCTTTTAGTATAACTTAACAAAATTTTGTGATTCCAAATCAGTATTTAAAAAAATTATGAATTTTTGTATCCTTAAAAACCTAATCTTTGATGTTTTTCGATAGTTGACCACCAACAACACTTTTATCTCAATTTTTGAAACAATATTGTACTTTTTATTTGAATTTACACTCTTTTTAGCATAACTCCACAAAATTTCGTGATTTCAATTCTATATTTAAAGAAGTTATGAAGTTTTGCACCATCAAAAATCAAAATTTTTGATATTTTTCGATACTTCCCACTTTGACCACCCACAACATTTTTATCTAAACTTTTAAAACAATATCCTATGTCTTATTTGAATCTACACTCCTTTTACTATAACTTAACAAAATTTTGTGATTCCAATTCAGTATTTAAAAAAGTTATGAATTTTTGAATCCTTAAAAACGTAACTTTTTGATGTTTTTCGATAGTTGACCACCAACAACATTTTTATCTCAATTTTTGAAACAACATCGTATTTTTCATTTGAATCTACACTCTTTTTAGTACAACTCCACAAAATATCGTGATTCCAACTCAATATTTAAAGAAGTTATGAAGGGTTGCATCATTAAAAATCAAAATTTTTGATATTTTTCGATACTTCTCACTTTGACCACCCACAACATTTTTATTTTAATTTTTGAAGCAATATCCTATGTTTTATTTGAATCTACACTCCTTTTAGTATAGCTTAACAAAATTTTGTGATTCCAATTCGGTATTTAAAAAAGTTATGAATTTTTGTATCCTTAAAAACCTAATTTTTGATGTTTTTCGATAGTTGACCATCAACAACATTTTTATCTCAATTTTTGAAACAATATCGTATTTTTTATTTGAATCTACACTCCTTTTAGTATAACTCCACAAAATTTCGTGATTCCAATTCGATATTTAAAAAAGTTATGAAGTATTGCATAATTAAAAATGAAAATTTTTGATATTTTTCGATACTTCTCAATTTGACCACCCACAACATTTTTATCTAAATTTTTGAAGCAATATCCTATGTTTTATTTGAATCTACACTCCTTTTAGTATGACTTAACAAAATTTTGTGATTTCAATTCGGTATTTAAAAATGTTATGAATTTTTGTATCCTTAAAAGCCTAATTTTTGATGTTTTTCGATAGTTGACCACCAACAACATTTTTATCTCAATTTTTGAAACAATATCGTATTTTTTAATTGAATCTACACCCTTTTTAGTATAACTCCACAAAATTTCGTGATTCCAGTTCGATATTTAAAGAAGTTATGAAGTTTTGCACCTTTAAAAATCTAAATTTTTGATATTTTTCAATACATCTCATTTTGACCACCCACAACATTTTTATCTAAATTTTTGAAGCAATATCCTATGTTTTATTTGAATCTACAGTCCTTTTAGTATAACTTAACAAAATTTTGTGATTCCAATTCGATATTCAAAAAAGTTAGGAATTTTTGTATCCTTAAAAACTTAATTTTTGATGTTTTTCGATAGTTGACCACCCACAACATTTTTATCTAAATTTTTGAAACAATATCCATTGTTTTATTTGAATCTACACTCCTTTTAGTGTAACTTAACAAAATTTTGTGATTCCAATTCGATATTTAAAAAAGTTATGAATTTTTGTATTCTTAAAAACCTAATTTTTGATGTTTTTCGATAGTTGACCACCAACAACATTTTTATCTTAATTTTTGAAACACTATCGTATTTTTTAATTGAATCTACACCCTTTTTAGTCTAACCCCACAATATTTCGTGATTTCAATTCGATATTTAAAAAAGTTACGAATTTCAGTATCCTTAAAAACCCAATTTTTGATATTTTTCATCATTTATATTTATATGCTTATAGCAGCCTAAATCTTGAAATTTAAGAAAAATATTTAAAAAAGAATAAAGAGATAGATTTTCTTTAGAAGCAGTAACACTTTTAATTGATTTATTTTANTATTTTTTTATTGTGTTCTTGTGCAATATCAATAAAATGATTATTATTATTATTATTAAAGAATGTTTTTCGATACTTTTCACTTTGACCTTCTACAACATTTTTATTTCAATTTTTAGAACAATATAGTATTGTTTATTTGAATCTATACTCTTTTTAGTATAATTCCACAAAATTTCGTGATTCCAATTCGATATTTGAAAAAGTTATGAATTTTTGTATCCTTAACAACCTAAATTTTTGATATTTCTCAATACTTTTCACTTTCAGCACCCACAACATTTTTATTTAAATTTTTGGAACAATATTATATATTTTACTTGAATCTACACTCTTTTTAGTATAACTCAACAAAATTTCGTGATTCCAATTCGATATTTAAAGAAGTTATGAAGTTTTGCAGCATTAAAAATCAAAATTTTTGATATTTTTCGATACTTCTCACTTTGACCACCCACAGCATTTTTATCTAAATTTTTGAAACAATATTCTATGTTTTATTTGAATCTACACTCCTTTTAGTGTAACTTGACAAAATTTCGTGATTCCAATTCGATATTTAAAGAAGTTATGAATTTTTGTATCCTTAAAAACCTAATTTTTGATGTTTTTCGAAAGTTGACCACTAACAACATCTTTATCTAAATTTTTGAAACAATATCGTATTTTTTATTTGAATCTACACTCTTTTTAGTATAACTCCACAAAATTTCGTGATTCCAATTCGATATTTAAAGAAGTTATGAATTTTTGTATCCTTAAAAACCTAATTTTTAATGTTTTTCGATAGTTAACCACCCACAATATTTTTATCTAAATTTTTGAAACAATATCGTATTTTTTATTTGAATCTACACTCTTTTTAGCACAATTCCACAAAATTTCGTGATTCCAATTCGATATTTAAAAAAGTTATGAATTTTTGTATTATTAAAAACCTAATTTTTGATGT